AAACCCCCAAAAAAGCAATCACCGGGGGGTGGGGGGGGGGGGGTTGTTGTGCATTGTGCACATTCACAGGGTTGGCATACACATTCCATGTAAATTATATTTTTATTCATATTTACAAAAGCCAGATACAAAACAAACATCTATCAGGATTAAAGTATTATAAAATTAACATTCCATTTGGTAGCCTTGAAACAGCTCCCCCACTTGGGAGATATTGCAAGAACAGATGAGTACAGTTCACAGGACTCCTTCTGGTGGATTCTCTATTTATCCCCTTGGTGAGGTATGGTGAAAATACCATCTTGTGACATCTATTACATGGATTATATAACAAGTAATCCCTAACTTTGACCAACAAAAGGCACAGGTTATGTGGGTTGCAAATGAGAAGGAAAGGTTTAAGGGGAGTAGGAACAGTTATGATATTTATATGTGATATGTGAGGGAGGTAGGAATTCAGTCAGGGGAGGTTAGGAGATAGGCAAGGAATAGGGTAGGGGAGAATTTCTAACCAGCCATAACCTAAATGTCAGTACAGAAATAATCAACATGAGAAGAAGTCCAAATTATTCAATTAGCATGCTGTGAGGTGAGCCACTAACTCCTCCCACAAACACTGTTCAATAGGTGATGCATTCAGACATAGTAAGGAAAATAGGTTAGATTTTAATTTGTTTGATTATGGTTTGTTATCAATCACCTGTCAGGGTCTATGGTTTCAATGCTAACTATATCTTAATTATTTGTGCACAATAATATATGCAGCTGACCCAGGTTGTATACAAATTGTCATATTTGTAATTTCCCCATTTTTTTTTTAAATAAAATGTGTCCATTCACATTCTGTGGTCTACATTACTGTTGTTAAGTTGTTAGGTTCTGTGATTGTGGCCAGCCGTGATGAAAACATAGCCCAATAGCCTATACCTGTAGCAAAGAGTTTGAATCCAGCTGTCATTTTCTAGTGCTGGCTTAGAAACCTAGGGCCTGTTCACGTGCGGTTATATGAGCGTTGAACTGTACAACACTAACACACATACTGCATACAGCCCTGCCGCCTCAGCTGTCACACACACACCACATGCGTCCACATGCGTGATGTGTGTGTGTGTGTGTGAGAGCTGAGGCGGCGGGGCTGACAGTGTACCAGATAGAGCCAGCGAAGCAGCATTATTTACCTCTTCTATATATCTGCTGCCCGTGCTGCCGCTGTCTAACTTCTGTGTCTGACCGGCTTCTCACCTTCCTGTATCATGCCACATGACAGGGAAAGGGAGGACTCTCAGTATGCAGAAGTTAGACACAGGTAACACGGGCAGCGGAATTGTGGAGGTGGTAAATAAAGTTGTTTCACTGCCTCTAAACAATACATGTAGTACCAGAGTCCCCTACCCTCCCACTCATGCGTCCTATGGCACGTCTTATGGAGCGAAAAATACGGTATTTATGTCTTTTTCTTTTTTTTTTCTAAGTGCCTTGTTACATGTGGAAAAGGTAACAGACGCCGTCATGTGATGTGCCAGTTAAATGATGAACAACTGAAAGATGATTATTGTGATCCAAACAACAAACCTGAATTAGTCATATCTTGTGAGCTTCAAGAATGTGCTTATTGGCATATGGGACCTTGGGGACCAGTATGTATAAATTAAATATGCGCATTGTTTATGACTTGCATTGTGTAAATATCAAAAGTTGGCACTGTATCTTTAATTAGAATGGTTTTATGTTGTGCACAAATCTAACGGTTACCTGATATACACAAGTCTTTTGCAAAGGGAGATTTGCTCTAAACATTTTGTTCCACAATTGCATGTTTGGTTTCTTTACTTGGGATTTTATCCTTGCCCCACAGTGTCTGAATTACAAAAAAATGGAGGAAGGTTTAGGTTTTTTTTTGGCCCCAGCAGTATGCCAGATTCCTGCTGCCATTTCTAATGCAAATCCGCATATTGATAAATGATGCTGATTGACTCATGTTAATACAGTTTATTTGAAAAGCCTACATATTAATGTCTTCAGCTGTGATATCTCACTATTTAAGTATTCTTGAGCACCTTGAAAATGACCAGTCTGACTGCAAATATGTTCTTATGCAGTGTTCAGTTAGCTGTGGACATGGCTACCAGCTTCGCACTGTAAAGTGCAGTACAGGAACTTACGAGCCAGCTTTGGATGAACGTGAATGCAATGCAGCTTCTCGGCCAACAGACAGCCAGGCAAGTCATCTATTTTAATTTGATTTCTACAAAAAAAAAATGATAATAAATAATTACAATTATCCATTATTGCCTTTTTTCATATTGGCATTAGTGTTCATCTAGGTATTGAGAAGTTGTATTTATATTAGTCTTATATCTGCAGGATTGTGAAAGGATTCCTTGTCCAGTACAGTCCCGTATGTTACCAACTATCTCTCCTGCAGATCAAGTACATAAAAATGCACAATGGAGATATGGTTCATGGACGCCAGTAAGTGTCATGCAATCCTTATTTGGTCTATAATAAAACTGTCTGGACACATTTGTCTCTGCATAGTCTGATTGTGTCTAGCACTTATATGGGTTGTGCTAGGAAGAATATAGAAAATCTACTTTTAATTTGTTTTTTTGAAAAGGGTATTCAGGTGAATACCACAAATGACTGGTGTGAACAAACACCTTACTAGTGAGATGAAATTGCTTTCCCCCCTTCTTTTCAGCATTTCTATCGCATTTTTAAGAATTTGTAATGGGAATTTGTAAACCAACAGATTTGTCCACTTCCTTACTTGTTATAAGAGATTCTTGCTTTCACTCATTTGCAACAGACTCCAGCTCTCTGCACTAGATTCCCTCTACCTATGTTATCAAAGCATTATAGCTGCAGAGGAGATGGAAATTGGCCCAGTGACTCACCTGAAGGGAGACTAAAGACTGTAAATGGTTTCTGAGAGACACATGATTCTACCTACAAAGTTGATCACTTAGTTTACTGACACTATGCAGTTGATTTACTAATGGTTAGTAGGCTGTTCACTTTGGGAATTTCCCTGAGATTAGTGAATGATGTGAAGTTCTGCTGACTTTCATCATCCAATCATGTGCAAGCAAAAATACTGTTTTTTTTTTTTAATTTTCCTTGCTTGTGATTGGGTATTCTTTGCAAAGTGAATTTCCACCACATCCATTAAGATAAGGGGAAAGTCCCTTGCAAAGTGAAGATTCCCATGCAAAGTGAACAGCCTGTTTCCCTTTAGTAAGTAAACCCCCATGCGTATTACACTGTACAAGTGGTTTAATTTAAAATATCAGGCTTTTACTTATCAGTAAGCACCGGCTTTATTGTCTCATATAAAATGTCCAGTTTTTGTAGTAAATCATAATGCAATTTATTGTGTAATTCTAGTGCTCTGCCTCTTGTGGAAGGGGTAACCGTGCTCGATATGTCAGCTGTCGAGATGCACTGGGTGGAGTAGCCGATGAATCATTTTGTACATATCTATCACGTCCGTCTGAAGTCTCTAGCTGTTTTACACCATGTGGAGAATGGCAATCTGGTGACTGGTCTCCTGTAAGTAAAAGTATTGAATACAAGTTATTATTGCTTTCTATAACACTTATTATACAACCTGCGTGAGTTAACCTGTGGCTGATGATCTTATATTTGTGCAGTGTCCAGTAACATGTGGAAAGGGAAAAGTTATGAGACAAGTTATTTGCACAAGTTATCATGGAAGGATTGATGTTGAAAACTGTGATCCTGATGGCAGGCCTATAACAGAACAAGAGTGCAATATGGCGCCATGTCAGGGACACAACCATTTTCCTGGTAATCATAACCATCCAATGCTGTTTCCACCAGAAAGCCCACAAAAATCTAGAGAATATGATGTACACAATTCAATCAACCAACGAAACGAGCCTGCTTGGGGAAATCAGTGGAGGACTGGACCATGGGGAGCAGTAAGCTATATTTTACTGTTAAAATACAACATTGCACATAGGCTGTTCACTTTGCAAGAGAATTTGCACTTTACACAGGGAGTTTATATATATATATGTATATGTATTTCTTTGTATGTGATTGGGTATTGCAAAGTAAAATGTCACCACATTCAGTAGGCTAAGGCGAAACTTCCCTTGCAAAGTGCAAATTCCCTTGCAAATTGAACAGCTTATTTGCCTTTAGTAAGTCAATCCCTATGCATCTATCTTTTTGTATCTACTATAATTCCCAAATTTGATGTGTGTGAATGTACATAGCCCTACATATCTATTATAGCATGTTTGTCCTAGATGTTTTCTTAATTTTCTTGATTTTGGGGAATAATTTTTTATGCTAGTCATTTCACTTCTGATCGGTCATTCGCTCGGCTGCCCTCGGCAGCTTTGTGAATAGACCCCATAGTATATTCATTTAACCAGTGCAAGAACAGGGCAGTGTAGTGGCTTAATTGGTTGTACACTTTTTTGGGAAAATGCTGGGTGATGGTCTTGTTTTCAATTGTTATATTAAACAGAAACTATCATTTCTTTTTTAAACAACTTTTTTTTAACATTACTCTTGTTTAAATTTGATTGTTCATTTCTTTTTAGCCAGGTTTTGTCCACCTCAACCTTTTCACACCTGACTTAACGGATCAGGATACAGAGTGTGTGAGGATGAGGGAGGCAGGGTGATGAGCTACTGTATGTATCGCCATCTGGCACACGTCCTCAGAAATTGACTAGCATGCTTGCAAATTATTCCCCAATCCTGACTCAGGAAACAAAAGCAACACATACACACTAATCCACCAGATTTCAGGAGATGTGGGTAGATGCCACCACTTGCAATTTGGCAGCTGACTGGTCTGTATGGCAACCATACACACAGATCCGCGTTGCAGCAATGAGATCATGTTCTGCTTATGGCAGGTGCGATAACTTCCTCACACTGAAGCTAATCTGCATACAGTCAGATTGGCTGTCTTGTTTTCCTTCAGCCACCCACCGAAATGACAGAGAACATTAGGGCACAGCAATAAGATGCAAACTCACATAGATGAACAGTGAACTTATGACAGAGGTAAAGACACTGGTAATACAATACAGGCAGCACAACAGGGGATACATTTTTTGCAGTACTTGAATTCTTGGAAGTACACAGAAGGTCAGCTAATTATTTTTTATATTTAATATTCCAAAAACACATAGCAGTGCAGAAATATGTGCAGCAGTAATAATTGCAAATGACAAAAAGGAAATAACAAATAAATATTGTCTATTTACTATAATATGAAAATGGGAAAAAACAGAAGTAAAGTTAACTGTTTGAGCAGTATTGTTTTGTCCTGTTGGTGGGAGCACACCGATATAATTCTGTAACTGCCTTGGTTAAAACAAGCTTCGGATGAATCATATTGTTCACTTCCTATACCCCATAGTTTTATAGGAGTAGAGATATGGGGCAGACTTCCCACCCTTGGCCAAACAGCTTTGGGGGCGGTACCCCACCAGATGTGAATAAAGTTCTAGCCTCTGAAGTGGCCATAAGGTATATGGATGACTGGGTTGGAGTTAGGGTTTTCGCCACCAACACGTCATCCCAATTGTAGCAAGTCCAAGCACAAGATAAATGCCATCGGAAGGGTTCACATAACTGTTTAGTCAGTCTCTAGGGGTTTTATAAGGCCAAGACTTGCCATTTTGTATCTACATGCAACTCATCGTTTGTACAGTCAGAATGGATAGCTCTTATTTTACCATGACTAATAGTTTCAATCTTACAAGTTATACCCTCTGATCTTTGGAAAAAGAGTAGGGATTTCAGACAGTGTTGCACCCGACAGTTGCACAGTCTAAGATGATTCTTTTCATGGCTTTCCCCCCAGTGAGGTGATAATTGATTACTTTTATCTATAGCGCCAGTCTAAAGGATTATGTCATCGAGTCTGGAGGCGTTCCTGTCAGAGACTCATTAGCAGCAGGGTGTTAATTCCTTAGATGTACAGGCCTTGCAGTGCGTATTTAGATTCTGAATTATGAACATGCTATTCTATATCTATTGTTACCACTGGTAATCATTTTAATATTAATTATATTATTAATTCCTTTTAAACTTTTTATATAGTGTTCCAGCACTTGCGCAGGTGGTTTTGAGCGCCGAGTTGTTGTGTGCCAAGATAGTGAAGGAAGGATTAGTCATTATTGTGATGAGTCAACCAAACCTGCAGAATCAAGACAATGTGATTCTGGACCCTGTCCTCATTGGAACTATGGAAGCTGGGGAGAAGTAAGAATATATACAATTTTATATTGATGTTGTCATGTTATACTAATATTATTATAGTAATATAATATAAATCATAATATACATAATGAATAATATGTATTTTGTGTCCTTTTTAAATGTTCAGTGTGGCCATGGATGAACTGTCAGTGACAAAGGCAGATGTGCCTTAAATGACTCAGGACATTTCTATGGAATAATTTAACTTTAAGACTTTTTTTAACACTTTAAAATTCTGTTTACATCTAAACAGATTAGTTGTCCTTGTATGTTAGAGCTACAGGCCCAGAAGAAGTGTTAACTTGACAAAAAACAAACAAATATCAATAGATATAATGGCGTACTATGGAAGTACACCCCTAGATTTAGAAGCTGGTATTTCTCCCTGTAGGAGACATTTCCGTATGTAGGCATTTTGAATAACTACTGAAGACTCTTCTCTTCAGGGAAGCCTATCCCACCTTAACCTAACCACTGAACCATCACATTCTCAAACAATTTATCCCCACACAGCTACCTCCTCATGTATCATTTCCCCCTCCTCTTTCAGATTGTAAGCCCTCAGGGGCAGGGCCCTCCTTACCATCCTGTCTTGAATTGTATTGTAATTGTAATGTCTTCCTTACATTGTAAAGCGCTGCGCAAACTGTTGGCGCTATATAAATACTATGTAATAATAATAATAATTTCCATATGTAGGCATTTTGAATAACTACCCACCAGTCTTTGGCATCAACTCTTTTTTGCCCACTCCTTCATACAAAATTCCTTCAGCTGCAGTATGTTTGTGGGTTTCCTTGCATTAGCTGCCCCTTTTAAATCTCACAACATTTCACTGGGATTCAAATAAGGGCTTTTACTTGGCCGGTCCATAACCCTCCATTTCATCTTTTTGAGCTATTCCTAGTGTACTTTGCATCATTATCATGTTGAAATATCCATTTCTGGTTCAACTTTAACTTTCAGACAGATGAGCTCACATTCTCATCAAGCACACCATGATATGATTAAAACAAGCTGCCCAGGCCCTAAAGCAGGAAAAATCAGCCAAAAACCATAATATTTTCCACCACCATGCTTTGCAGTTGATATGAGGTTCTTCTCCTAAAATTATGGGGTCTATTCACTAAGCTGCCGTAGGTGAATGACCGACCTGAAGCTGTTCGGCTATTCACTTCAGGCTGGTACGGCTGATTTCAGCCGTATATCGGCTGAAATCAGCCTACATCGGGTGGCTTCGGGTCGGCGGAACATGCTCAGCATGTTCGGCCGACCCGAAGTACAGAAGGAGTTCGACTCAGCCGATCCAACATCTGGATCGGCTAAGCCGAACCTCCGGCAGGCTACTCGCTGCTGTTCGGTCTATTCTTATAGATGCCGAACAGCAGAACAGAAAAATAGTTACAAAAGTAGGAAAAAATAAATAGAAAACGATTGTGCGGAGCTAGCAGTGACAGCTAGCTCCGCCCAACTGTTTTCTATTATCCGGCGGTTCTGCTGCCGTCAAAAAAAAAGAAAAAACATTTATTGCTAGATTCCTATTGACTATTTCAATTTGCAATAGCCAATTTTGTTTTTTGTTTTTTATTCTGACGCCAGCCAACGGCTCCATGTCAGAAAAAAAAGAATCCCACTGCAGATCCCACTGTGAATTTGCCGAGCCGACCAGTCCTGGATAATTTAGCAGTCATGTTAAAAACCTACACCCCTTGTAGATTATTTTTCCTGCAGTCGAATAATTTATTTCAATTTATTTGGTGATCTTTTACTACAGTTACACTTACTGTTTTAAAACCACCAACTGCCAGTCTTATTCTCAGCTATCCTCAATCCAGTGACTATTGCCTCCTGTCAGAATCTTCTCTGCCAGGAGAGATAATACTCTAAAGGGAGTGCCTTTTGATTCGCCAACCTCCTAGAGGCAAAGCATATACCCAGAGGCCTGCTGTGTCCCCATATGAACTACTAAAGACAAGAATGGTATGGTAAGTTTGAAAATCCACGCTCTGAAAATTCTCTTATTCACTGATCTTAAGCTGCTTTCTACTAAAAATTCTGAAAAGCCATACAGTAACGCCTCATGCAGCTTACTCATTCACATACATCTTTTTGTATGCCCTACCTCTCTTGATTGTAAGTGTAGGTAGAACACAGAAAAAGAGAGAGAACTAGTTGTTTATGTTATAATAATTGTATCCTATATTGATCAACTCTGTAAGACAGTGGGGTTTGTGAGTACTCATTCCTCTAGTGCTGGAGGCTCACACTCAATGTGAGGCATATATAGTTTTTCGTCCAGCTTAGGGGAATGCAGTGCACAGCCCACAGTTAAGGGAGTTTGAAAGAAGCTCAATTTTTCTAACCATTTTGTAACCATTACAATGTTTTATTCTACTGGGACCCCTTGACTGAATAAGTGAACTAACCTTTAAAGCAAATCATGATCCCAGAAGCAAATGCATATCTTTCCTATTACTCTCCTATTACTGCTTCAATTAGTGCAAGGAGCCAAAGAAAATGCCCTGTATTTCTAGGTGTGGAGGAGCATGTGACTTGCCCTATGTGGCAGGAAAAATGCTGTCACATGGGGAGTCCATAGCCCTGTTTAACCCCTTCCCGACCGATGACGGGATTATTCTATCTTGGTCTTTCAGTTCCTTAATGAGCAGTGACAGAATAATCCATCATGCGGTACAATGAATGCTGGCCCATGCATGGTCCAGTGCTGTTTGAGTTAATGCTGTTGATGGGTCCCTTGGGGCCCGAGGCAGACCCTCAACAGCACTTTAGGTGGTCACAGCACAGTGATCACTGTGATAGCTGATCGCTGTGATCACCGTGCTGTGACAGCCACTGAGCCGGCTTTTAGCTCACTGTGTTGTGGAGCTGGAAGTCTGCTGTGTATTACCTACAACTGGTAAAAAAATGTGTTTTTGTTTCCATTTAAAAAAAAAAGAAAAAAAGAAATTATAAATGCATATGTCAAATCAAATTAAAGCCCATTTTGTCCTTAAAAAATGGTATATAATATATATGTGTAGATGCAATGACTGAGGAAGATTGAAATTATGGTTAAACAAACACATAGCAAAAATGGAAAAATTGCAACGGTCCCCAGGAACGGAAAACATTTCTGTGTCACTAAGGGGATAAACATTTGGGTGGATTTGCTATATACAAATAGTCTGTTCACCTAGGAAAGGGCCTTTTCACTTTACAAGGGAATTTTCTCTCAGCTTAGTGAATGTGATGAATATAGAGCTGCAGCTAACGATTATTTTCAAAATCAATTAGTTAGCCGATTATTAAGTTCGATTAATCGGATAAAAAAGAAAATAAAATAAATTTTAAAAAATGGCTCCAGTGATGGACTACTAGTTTGTATTGAGATTGCAGTCCATCACAGGAGCAAGCTTGGAGCGGTGGAAGTAAAAAAGAAAAAGTGTGGTGTGCAATATAGTGAAATGAAGAGGACTACAAAACCCAGCAAAAGTACATTATACAGCACAATGCAGAATACCACCATCTATAGAGGACTACAAATCCCAACAATACATTATACAGCAATGCAGAATACCACCAGCTATAGAGGAATACAACAAATCCCAGCAATAGTACATTATGGCTGGCGGTATTCTGCATTGCTCTGTATAATGTACTATTGCTGGGTTTTGTAGTCCTCTATAGCTAGTGGTATTCGGCATTGCACCACTGTATAACGTATTATTTCTGAGATTTGTTGTACTCCTCTATAGCTGGTGGTATTCTGCATTGCGCTGTATAATGTACTATTGCTGGGATTTGTTGTACTCTATAGGTGGTGGTATTCCGCCTTGCGCTGTATAATGTATTATTCCTTGATTTGTAGATTTACAGCGCAATGCAGAAAACCACCAGTTATATAGGAATACAAGAAATCCCAGCAATACAATATACATACAGTGTATAATGTATTGCTGGGATTTGTTGTACTCTATAGCTGATGGTACATTGTGCTGTATAATATACAGCACAATGTACCATCAGCTATAGAGGAATACATATCCCAGCAATACATTATAGAGCACCATGTGTGGGAAAGGTGCAGGCTTACCTGAGCAGTCTTCCAGCAACTTGTTTGCAGCGTGTGTGGAGCGGTGAACAGGGCCAACAAATCGGAAGCCGATTAATCGATTATTGAAAAAGTTGACAACTTTTTCAATAATCGATTATGTCGATTAGTTGTTGCAGCCCTAGATGAATATACACTTTGCAAAGAATACCCAGTCACATGTAAGGAAAATAAAATACAATTAATTTTGCATTCACATGATTGGATGATGGAAGTCAGTAGAGCTTCACTTCATACACTAACCTAAGGGATAATTCCGTTGCAAAGAGGAAATTCACTTGCAAAGTGAACAGCTTATTTGCCTTTAGTAAATCAACCCCTAAGACTCCAGGAACTTGTAGCAGAACACAGGACTTGCCTTCTGTTCTTTGTGGCTTAACAGAGCAGCACAGGAACAAAGTGATGGTCAGTATATGCTACTGGGAGCATAGCATCTCTTTTAAAATGAAACTATTACTTTGCCTTGTATGGGCAAAACACAGGTTTACATTGAGCTTACATTTCGGTTAGCCTGATTGAACTTTCAAGGTGATAAAAGAGCACCAGCTATACAATTTTGGACCTGAATGGATTTTCTGTGCTTTCACCGTCAGACTGTAAGGAATTTCTAAATACATTGATATTAAACTTTAAATTTTGTCTATACTTCAGTGCACCCAAACATGTGGCGGTGGAATGAAAACAAGATTAGTGATCTGTCAGCTGACAAATGGACAAGTGTTGGATGACCAAAACTGTGAAATTCTTGATAAACCACCAAATGTGGCACAGTGTAACACACATATATGCCCTGCTGATGCTTCTTGGCATCTACGACCATGGAAATTGGTATGATAGCAAATTTATGTTATTTCTATAAAGCAGTTTGTCTGGAAATTAACAAATATCTATTGTACAGTATAATTATTTAAATCTAGTATATTTAATTTTAAATAATATATTCATACTTGGGGCATTTCTTTGTGTAAAAATATATGTATATGTAGCTACACAGAGATGTGTTGAAATAATTTGTAAATGTTAATTTTCAGAGTTTAATTTAAATGACAAGCTCATATTTAATATCTTATTAGGACAGACCTCTCTTAAAGTTTAATATTTTTGAACTGTCTCTTTGTTAAAAAAAAAAAAACAGAAGTGTAGTGAAAGTGGAAAAAGTTATGGCTCTCAGTACAATTGTTGTACATATTAGCATGATGTACATGATATGCAGTTCTTTGACATGATTAATTTTAGAACACTTTTACGACTATTCAGAACATACAGAGCTAACTTAAACATCCTTAGATGTAAACCAATTTTTAATGTGCCTTAATTTCCAGTAACTTATTTTAAGTTTATTCTTTTAAATGAAAGAAAAGCATACAGTGCAGCAGTTATATTTTACAATATGTGTAATTACCTGTAAAGGTACATTAACTATTTATCTGTTATACTACATTTCATAGCTGTAACTTGTAAAGCTGAACACACTGTAATGACAACAGCCTTGTATTTGTAGACAGCCTCAAGTGAGGTTTTTTTGTATAGCTAGCGAGAGCCCACACAGCAGTTTATGGTTAGAAATACGCCACAAGCATCTTTGCAAGCATTCAGTGTCGCATAAAACATACACAGCTTGTGTAAAACAGCCTGTCCAGCATTACCTGTAGCTAAATAAGATTCTCTTGTACCCGGGAAATGGACCTTGTGTCATGATTTCCAAACAGTAGTTTTTACTTGTCAAGGCTGCACCTGCAGTGTATCTGTGCATATTCTGACTTTCCAAGGTTTCCAAGACTTCTGAGATGCAATTTTGAAGGTAGCTTTCTCCTCTACAAAAACAGCCATGCCAATCAAGGTTGCCGCTGCACAGTGTCTCTCTGCCGAGTTACATATACTGACATCACTACGTTTTTCAAGAAGTTTAAGATATAGTTGTGAAAGCAGCTTTCTTTTCTAAAAAACAATTATAGCAGTGGCCTAATTTGTCCTGAGTACTTCAGCACCTTGAGAATAATGCCCTTTCTTGATCAAAAGGGCTATCCCATTGCCTTTCATGTTACTCATAAACATACTCATGTTAACATTTAACAAGTTACTGAAAACTGGAGTTCCTTGAAGCAATGCCGTCAGATCGCCTCGATATGTCCAATGGTCAATTTGAGCCAGACGGACTGAACAATCAGGCAGAGCAACCGGTGCCTCTCTAATAAGGCATATTAAGTGGCTGCTCCCTGGGGCCTCGTGTGGCTCAAGCAAAGAGCGAGAGGCAGCTTAATTAGAGAGCTATCTCTGCTGCTTCCCATGCGTCCGACAGCACGAGGCCCATGAAGCTCTTAATCTGGCCTAGCATTGATCATATATACCTCAATTAAATATACAAACATGTATCATCGAATCTTCAAGAGGCAGTTTCTGTAGTGCTGCAGAAATTTTCTCTGAGTCACTTGTTATTAATGATCACAATCACGTGCACTGTGATTTGAGTATGGTGTTCACTAGAATAGGTAATTGGTAAGAAAATATCACTTAGCAACATAATTCAAGCAAACAATTCTTGCTCATAACAGTGAATTCATTTTATGTAATCTTTTACTAATTTATTCTGTCTGGCAGCCCTAGATTATGTACATTTACACACCACTCTTTAGCTTATTAAGTTAAGGACCGTGGGCCTGATTTATGAAGCCAGAATATCACATGTTGCATTCCAATAGTTACATAATAATATCGATTGATTCATCAAAAACATTTCATTAAGTACTGATGTATGCAATGTTTCCCTTGCAATGTGAAACCTGATTTACAAAGCATTTTTAGAGGGTTGTCAGCCAACTTTGGGCATTAAGATGTCTTTCTCTTTTTACCTGTTACAAGGATTTGAGAAGTTAATTTTAAGTTACAGGAGCCTTTTGTCATGTAGAGTAGACCTGAGCTTCCTATGTGATTACCTGGGCTTGGTAGGGTTGGGAGTCCAGCAAAGCCTGTTGTATGAAAGAAATCTATAGATGCACATAAATAAGCCTAACAAGTAACTGCTTTCTAATGTATATTGGCACCTTTAGGACATACTCACATTTATATATTGAGGTAACGCATTAAATATATTTGTTGCATTGCCCTTACATTAATTTTGAATGGCACTCCAGCACACAATTTTGCAACCAGGACAAAGGCACCAAACGGTTCCAAAGAGGTATTTTAGAGAAGGATATACTAAAAATCTTCCGCTTATCTGTCTGCATTCATGGGGCTATACGTGTAAATGTAGCTGTTTATTCTGACATCCTGTTTAAAAAAAAACCAGCACCCGAGAGACAGAGGTTTTCTTTTTCTTTTGCTCCAGGTTTGGAAGTCTGGAGATTTTACCTTAAGTAGAGGCAACCAATCAGAATTCATATTCTACTGTTCTGACTTCTTCAGTGTGAGCTATTACTGAATGCTGTAGGTTACTGAATTTAGGAATTAGCACTAGTGAATAAGAGCTGCTTATAGGAATACATTGGTAGTGTATAATTCCTTATGCAATGAAGCATTACAAAGGAAATCAGGCAACTAGGTGGTTTTTTTAAATGAAATTCACTCAAATAATGGTCAGTACATATATTAACTTAATATACAGTTTGCAGCTGTTGTCTTGTCTTGTGTCAATTGTTGTATTTTTTAATCTTTGTATTTTGTGTTTGTAACACTGTACATGTTTTTTTTTTGTAATCTTGCTTTATCCAAGCATATCTTGAATGTGATATAGCCTTAAAAGTCTGGGCAACTCAAGTATGTTTTTACTCTGCTATGACAATACAGATATGTGCTTGATTTTTTTTCCATACATAAAAGTCCACCCTGTTTGATATTACATTGACAAAATCATTGTTATATTTATGTTTAGTGAAGTGACATCCCATTGGATGTTTGCAAGTAGAACAGGTTTGTTATGAATAAAATATAAAGAGAGAAAATCAAATGTGAGTCCAGTCAATACCACAATACTAGATCAGTGGTTCCAAGTCAAAGCAACATATTTACGTGTTGTTCCAATAGGCTTTTTCACAGTTTGTAATTATTTCTCTCATGCCTTACACCTTTATTAAATGACCTAATTGGTATTTTCCTATTGAACATATATACTGTGTTCAATGAATTCAAATAGGTAAGTAAAGAAAATATCAACTATGTTGAACTAAATATAAGCAAAAGTCACATCTTAAAAAAAGATTGGAAAGTGTGCCTTAATGTCATTCATAGTCTGTTTGACATCGGGCTCATGTTCAAGATATGTTTGCATAGAGCATGGCTGCTTGTGTTTTTTAACTTGTACTACATATTTTAACAAATTGCAAGTAACCTGGTGATTTAGCTAAAGAACAGACTGAGAGTTCCTAACATGTGCATTGTGGCTATTTTAAGAAAATATAAAAAATAATCTTAAACTGAACTGCTTTTTTGTCTTTTGTTTTGGACATTGGTTTGTCTTCCAGTTGTATGTTCTTTTTGTTTAGTCAGGCCTGTACCACCATCAAAACATTTTCTGTGCCAAAATATTCTACTCTACCCAGCTACACTGCTACAACATTGTCCAGCAACTCGCCCTCAAAGCCACACTCACCACAAAGAGAATCGGTGTCCGGGATGTACACTAGTGCGCCTATGAGGCCCGCAGAACCAAGTTACAGATTAAATTTATATACCTGAGCACCTGATACCATGATGTTGCTAGACAGCTGTCTTTTTAAAGTATTATAGCCATGGGTCATTCAATATTGTTTTTGGTCATTTGATCATTGTGAGTGACAGCCAAGCCTATCAAAGTGGTTAAACTGCAAATGCTCTGCAAACGAAACTTGTCTTTTATGCTGTCCTAATTTTTTTAATGAGATATATCGTTGAAAAAAAAAAATGAAATGGTCTAACTTACTGTCATAGTGACAATGGTTTTACCAGACATAAAATAAGTATAAATTTGCAACAGGGGCACAAACAGCAATATAAAGATGGTGGATTGTAGTGCTCCCCTAATCTACTAAAAAAACATTATGACTAGACGTACACATTAACGTTTGTTACAGTTTGCCACATTTATTATACCGTGTCAGGTAATAATTGTCTCAAGCTGTTAGTAGTGTCATATCAAATTGAAACCTACACTGAGAAATGACAGTTGGAGCACCTGTGGCTCCAGACATTGATTAGAGAGGGCATTATATCTTTAATGGGATGGTACCCTAAGGGCCCTGAGCTTGTGTTGATGGCATCAGTTTGACATCAGTATGAGATGCATCTGAGATCATTCAGAATTAATTCACAAGTGCACTTAACTTGCAGTTTACCTCCTTCTGACCTGGATTTGACCTGCTTCAATTGGGTTTTGCATCCCCATATACATATGGGAATGCAAAACCCACTTAAAGTGGCCCTTACTATAGAAGAAAGAATAGGGAATGCCATATTGTTAATACCTGGGTGAGGGGAACATAATTCTGAGATGAAAAACCTCAGAAAAAAAGTTTTCATAAAATTAGAAATTTCCTCTTTCATACACATCTACAAAGCCAAGTTCAACAAACCTAAGTGGGTGTTTGATATTAAAAATTTAGTTAGACTACAAAACAGAAAGGCCATTGATATTCAAACAAATCCATCTAAAGAATCTAAAAACTACTGTGGTTAGAAAGTGATGGGTAATTCTTTCAGTCATAGTGGTAACCTCATATTTAATGTACTGTATATATTACTACTGCAGTGTGCCTATTCCTTGAACAGCTACTTTGGAATGATGGATTTAATTTAAGTGTAATGCATCATTAGTGATATGATATGATCATTTTAGTGTGGATTTGGAAACACTG